TTTTATTCATCTTTTTTTTTTTTACTGTGAAATGTGGAATCTATATTAATTCGATGAAAATATCTATATATACTATATTTAAAATAAAAAGTCAGAACTGTAATTATTAACGTTTAAATCTTTGCTCAAATGCAAAGTTCCAGACCCATTATTGGATTACTACTATACTCAATACTATTGAAATTACAGTGTCACTTCTCGCCATGTATTTGAGCAAATCACAGCTTCAGTAGATAAAAATCCATCCAATCAGCACAAGCTTCCCCTAAAGCCCCGCCTCCCTGACAGTATTAATTAGTTTGGGCTTTGCTGTCCTCAGACACTGAGGAGACTGTGAACTCTGCGACTGTACGAGGACCACTGTGCGTTTGATCGCTGCATTTTAAACTGTCAATATGGTTGATGCATTTTGTGCAACTTGGAAACTGGTTGACAGCCAGAACTTTGATGAATACATGAAATCACTGGGTAAGTAAAAATAAGATATTATTTTGCAGAAAGACAGAATTCCTCTTAACAATTTGCACGTGCAATGTGCAATAGCACAGTCTGGTGTTTAATCGCATGACATTTTCTGTACAGTTTATATAATAATAATAATAGTTTTGTTCTGTCTGTAATGTTTTCAGATTTTTTTTTTTTTTATTCCACAGGTGTTGGTTTTGCCACCAGGCAAGTAGGCAATGTTACCAAACCCACAATTGTCATCAGTCATGAGGATGACAAAGTTGTGATAAAGACGCTGAGCACCTTCAAAAACACTGAGATTTCTTTCAAACTAGGAGAGGAGTTTGACGAAACCACAGCAGATGACAGACATGTAAAGGTTTGTGTGTGTGTGTGTTTTTTCTATTTCTTTTTTTAATTCACTGATGCATGCAGTGTCCACAGCAAATCTAAAATCAAAAATTTTACAAAACAATTTAAAGTACTTTTTAGCAGGTTAGGTCTATTTTTTCCTTACATGAATTTGACCATATGTGATATAATAATCATAAAGCACTACTAAAAAACTAACTTTCATCTTTTTATCTCATTTCAGTCCACTGTAACCTTGGAAGGAGACAATCTTGTCCACGTTCAGAGGTGGGACGGCAAGGAGACTAAGTTTGTTAGAGAAATCAAGGACAGTAAAATGATTATGGTAAGTAGCATAATTCATATTAATTTAGAATTTTAAGTCAAATGTTCTGTTTAATCAGTGTTATGGATATTTAATGTTCCTAAATTTCCTCTCCTCGTCTCTGCTGTTTCCAGACCTTGACCTTTGAGGGTGTGCAAGCTGTCCGCACATATGAAAAGGCATAATGTCAAACGAATTAACGCTTCAGTATTACCCTGGCAACTTGACAATATTACAAGGGAATTTTTACATTGTATTCTCAACTGAGTTTTCCCCTTTTTAAGACGCGAGACATTTTTTGTAAGACCTTTTATATAAAATGCACATTGTGAAGTTTTTGTGAACATTGCAGAATGTCTTTAATGTAAGTGGATTGTATAATTGAGGCCTGCCTTTGTGTCAAATTGAATGAAATACACACATTTGATCAAAAACTGACTCTGTTCCTTGCTTTCTTATGCAAACACTTTAGTTTTCTCAATAGTCTGATAATAAAGGAAGTATAGTCTTAATATTTGTCACTTGAACAAGACAGTATATAACAGTAGTTTATTTATGCACACATACATAATTTCCTGAAACAGAATTGAGAGCTAAAAACATTACACTTATTTAAATCGCAAACATAATTTTATACAATTTCAAAATAATTTTGTAGTAATAAATTAAATTTATATTTAAATTAAAATGGCATGAAACCAAATGCATATAGAATAAAAGAATGCATTTAAATGATTTTCTCTGAAGTGAACATTGTTCCTAATAGAAGATCTTATTGCTCTTTTATAGTACATTATATCATTTCATCCAGTGCTAATGAATAATTCACAGTTTAGGAATCTTTTGGAGATGTCAAAAGGTTGGGGTTTTTCACAGATGAGAAATTTGCACTGTAGTTAATCAAATGAACCCAGCCACTATAAGACCTTTGTTCCGAAGCACCATTGCTGTAAGTTTTGCCTTCCATTTGCTCAAAGATCCCATACTTGATTTTGTGCCATAAACCCACATACAACTTAAGAAACCAAACAAATAATGTATTAATTATAAATATAATTTGTTCTATAACCATGAGGTACTGCACAGACCTGGGTTTACATGTAATTGAGTTTCATTACACATAATCCAGTCCGATTACGGACTGAATCCTGAAGTACTGGGATGATGACCATAAGGTATTAATGATCAGCCATTTCTCTGCTTTAGATGCTAATTAGATTTTGACTTTGAGAGTCGATGCTGGGCCGCTTTAATCCACTGAGCGGATGGCCAACACACTCGAGTCATATCTGAGAAGATTGAATTTAACCTGTCGCCATTATTATTAATTATTTCACTGTGCTAGAGTTTCAAGCGCCCACTTGTGTATCATGAGAAAAAGGCTGTCTGAAATTCTGAATGAGTGTTTGTTTTACTTCTGGAGCTGTTTGAACACAGGCGATTGACTATTTAAAAGGCTTTTTAGTGCGGGCCACGGATATCTGCATTTGGATTGAAAATGCCAGTCTGGGAGAGGGACAGTCCTCAGTTTGTTTAATATAATGCTGGGATGAAGGATCACGAATCGTTTTGAAAATGACCTGTAGTAACCCCTCCATAATTTGAACCTGCCAGGAGGGGACACGTTGTCACTGGGTCAAAATTAATCCTATAATCCGTGTTGCCTTTACGTAGGAGCATCATTCGATCAATTTGACCAACCATGTTCAGATGCTGTAGCCTGTAGTGTTACGTTATTGGCCCACATTTGTCACAACCACTTGTACATTAAATTATGATATGTACACAAAAGACTGGAATAATTAACATTTTTAATGTTTTTGAAAGACGTATCTTATGCTCACCAAGGCTGCATTTAAAAAAAAACAAAAAAAACAATAAAAACTGTTATATTGTGAAATATTATTACAATTTAAATGTACCGTTTTCTATTTGAATATTCTAAAAAATATATAATTTATTCTTGTGATGCAAAGCTGAATTTTTAGCAGCCATTACTCCAGTCTTCAGTGTCACAATAAAAATCATATAAACATATATTCTTATATGTTGATTTGGTGCTCAATTATTAATAATGGTTCGTATTATTATCAGTGTTTTGCTGGTGTCAGGATCCTGCCCTGACAGCCTTGTCTGTCTTGTCTTTGTTCAATGTTTCTTTGTTTATCTTGTGTCTGAACACATGGTTGTGTCTTTGTTTTTGTTGGCCAATTGTTAGTCCTGAACTCTTTTTTTTTGATTTTTTTTTTTCTTCCCCTTTTTATTTTGTTATCCTTGTGTCGTGAGAAGTTCCAGTTTTATTTGTTTTATTTTTTTTTTTTTTTTATTTTCTTTCAGTGTCGAGGACACCAAGGTGGAAGGGGCCCTATGTTCACTCGTGCACAAGAGGCTGCCATTGTGAACATGGTTTTGACCAATAATTGTATCAGGCTGCGAGAAATCCAAGCCAATATCATCAATGATGACCATATTTTCAATAACATCCAACGAGTCTCTCTGTCAACATTAGGTCGAATCCTCAAGAAAAATCAAATATACATGAAGCAACTGTATCGGGTACCATTTGACAGAAATTCAGAGAGAGTGAAACATCTGCGCAATGAGTATGTGGAGGTATGTATTGTTCATCTTACTATGGTGTGGTATTCTGCCACCAAGTCCTCTGTGGCGGTTCCCGCCTCTGAATCGGCTGAACCCACCACAGTCATGCCTGAAGCTACCAAGTCCTCTGAGGGGGTTAAGCTCAAGGTAGAGGCAAGAAAAGTTTCCCAGTCGTCCCCTGTTCCCGTGTCTGTCCCAGTTCAACCCAAGCCAGTCGTGTCCAGTCCCGATGATCCTGTGTCAGTCCAAGTCACCCAGGAAGTCGGCAATCCGACAACTCACTGCCCCGGGAGGCGTGAAGGTATGTCCCAGCCCCTCGAAAGCGCTTTGTGGTGCCTGCTCCTCCAGAGCATCCTCCGGTGCCAGCACCACGTAGGCGCGCCCCGTTAAGCCCAGGGAGGGCTCCTGTTTCTCCGTTGAGCCCAGGGAGGGCTCCTGTTTTCCCGTTCCCCGTCGAGCCCAGGGAGGGCTCCTGTTTCCCCGTCGAGCCCAGGGAGGGCTCCGGATTCCCCGTCGAGCCCAGGGAGGGCACCAGATTCCCCGTCAAGGCCGGTGAGGGCTCCTGTCCCTGTGCTTAGCCTTGGGAGGGCCTTGCATGTAGGACGTGTCTCTGTTGGGAGAGGTGCCACCAATGGTGCTCCCACCTTTATCCCGTCCTCTGTCCGTCCCGGTCTGCAAGGGTTCCCTAGGCCGGTACCACCATGGCCTGGACTTGCATGGGTCCCTTCCCCCCCCCGTCCCCCCAAT